TAACTATTAACCTACTAGACAACTGTAAGGTTAACACATTATCAAACTTACAGTTGTCTAAAAGTAGTTGAATCATCAGGCATTCCTAATAACGTTGGGTACCAGTATAAGGAACCTCTTTTTGGCAAACTTCGGTTCCTTGCGAGAATATCAGACTTGTCTTAATACAACTTGGAGGTTTAAGTAATCTTTTTATTGCATCTTTAAACTTAACAGTGCACAGCTCATGCTTACAATTGACTCTTCTCTGCTTGAGGAATTTAAATTAACATAAAAGCATCAAAGTTAAATTAAAGAATTTAACTCTTGAAAATGCATAATTCCTAGTTCTACAAGCCTGACCAAACTCCACTACCAAAAAGGTAAGCACAGTTCAAAGTAATTAATTCTCTGTGCTGAGCAAGGACATATCGCAAAGATTCCAAAGCTTCCTTACCTTTCAAAACTTCTGTTCTTATATACATATGGCTAATATACATTCTGGTGACAGCTGATGAAAATATAAGTGATAGTACTGGTAAAATAATGTTTAATTAATTGTAAACCGTACAACTTTTTTAAAAATACATTTAGCCACTACTTTTTTATTTAATGATTTCAGCATTAATGTAAAAATTTATTTTAAAATTAAAAGTGCCAGAGCCCCATAGAAAGCCATCAGACATGGAGAAGAGAAATAAATAATTAAAATAAATAGAAATATTTACAAATTTAATAATTTTGAGAATACATGAAATTATTGTAATGTATTTTGAAAATTATTCTGGTCCATCGAAGTCCAAATAAAAATGTCAACATTCTTATTCTAATCCAGCATTTCTCATGAAGATGCGGGCACCCTTATACAAAGTTCCTGTTTTTCATAAAAGTGCTGAAGATTTACATCATTCCCTGCTTAATTAATTAACATACTGACTGGATGATGGCAAAAATTCTGATCAGGCTGCACCATCCGTATTTGGGCGACCTTATTTGAATACTTACAAGGTAAAAGCAAATGAAAAAAACTATTGCTGAATGGTAAAAGAAAGAAACGAAAATGATTACTGCCATCAACTAAATTCATTCCATTCACTAAACTAAATTGTGCTTTCTTCAATATCAATTGTTCTTTCTTCCTAAACAACCAATTCTTGTAAAATATGATTAGTATGTACACCACATTTATAACTGCATTTATCAGTACCCAAACTGGAATCTGGGATATAATTTTATTTATGATTACCTTTCTGAAAAAACTTGGCTGTTCATCATAGCTATAACTATTCAAATTTTTGTAACTCGTAATAGATCTCTTCTTCACTGCTATGAGATTTACAACTTTTCCATTTTTCTTTTAGACATTTCGAAAAACTATGACAATTTTAGCACACGCACTCACACAAAATGTTAAAAAATTTATTATTACAGAAAAAATATTTGGAAAAGAAGGAATAATTTTCAAATTTCACGTTTTCTTAAGACACTTCATTCTTGACGAAAGATTTTCAACTGAATAAATATCCTGAAATGTTTTGTTTTAGATGTTCTAAGCTCTTACTGTCAGAAACACTTGGTGCATGGTATTGCATAAGGGTGCCCACACCATTATGAAGGCTGCTTTTTTCAAGTCAGAAACTGATCTAGCACCCTTATGAAAATTTGTCGTTTCAAATAGCAACTCACCTACATAATGGTTTACAATCCTAGAGTTTATATTTCTACCAAAAATTTCTTTAAACATTGGAAGTAAAATTTACTAAATCTATAGAAAGCACAGAAAATAATGATTGATTACAGTGCTAATACCACACAAGTGCATGGGAATATTTTTCTATAATGATCACCCCACGTATTTTCTTGCTTCCTCGAAAGAGATGTAAAGAAGTACAGAAATTTCTTCCATTCTCCTTCTATAGTACAGACGGTCTTTACAGCCCAAAGCTTCAAGTTATTTCACCAATTCTAATGCAGTATTGCTATGGTTACACTGGCCATTGGATTCAACTGTCTCTCTGGCACTGAAATTCATGATACAATAATAGGTTATAATTATAACTGGGGTTATTCAGCCCTATAATTAGGTCATTAATAATCATTTAAAATAAGGCCATTATAGACTCCTCACAGTGAACTTTTAGACTTGAAAAAATCAGGAAAGGGATGTAAAAGGAAGATGTCCTTTGCTATGTAATATCGCAGGTTTAAAGAAAAGCAACGAGATAAGAAGCTTAGAGATTGGGTCAGGAAGATACATTAATAACACAAAACCATGTCAAACCTGGTGAGAATGAGAAATCCTATGAATAGAAAACAAAGCTACGATTCAAACTAAGCGAAGTATAGATACAGATCAGAGAACTCAATGAACATAATGCAACACATTCTATGCATACAATACTAAATGCAAGATTCAAAATAAGTACAATGGAAAGATAAAAATATGATTCACACACTGGTGAGATAATTATGTGGAAAATAATTACAAGACTACAACAGTTTAGCAAGCGAAGCTGTCATGTAGATGATGCGATGTAATTGCTCTGAAGAATCTGCCCACGGATGGAATAAGGTAGGTAGAGAGTACTTGAAGAGTTACGCTGTAAACAATCTTAAAGCTTTTACACAAGAATTTGTCATTGCAATGGTTATTTTAGTGTTTTGTAGGTTCAATTTTGAAGTATCATTAAAAAAAGTTATTTTTTATTAAAAAATGTGCACCAATCAATTCCGAGTGCCTTATTTTGTATCACCTGAAAGTTGACTGAAATCAGTATCCATGGCTCTGCCCCAGCATAGCACAAAATGGGTCTCATAACAGAAAGGTATATTCTGCGCTTCCGGTGGACTTAATGACTAAACTTAGGACTGAATGTCGGCAGCATATACCTTAAAACACCAGTTGTTTTTCCTCTGACATTAGTCATATAATGTTACCAGGTGAGTTTAGTTGATTAATGAACTGAGCCTTTGAGGCTCTAATGGTGATTCTACACACTCTACATCAGTCCTCATTTTTAAACACATAACCTTGGAGCTTGGCAATGGCATCGTTTGGCAACAATGAATTAATTCCCCCCAACTGTATCATGTGTTTCTGACAAGGAAAGTCCGTCATATAAAATAGGTACAGGGTTGGCCCTAGGCATGAACCTTGCAGAACTTGCGCAGCAACTTTGAAAGATGGAAATACAACTCCTTCGCTCACACTAAAAGTTCTATCACTGAGAAAAGTGTTAACAAAACATGCTCTCTTCAAAATAGGATTTGCAACACATCAAATATGTGTTACTTTTTTTTTGGCAGTTTTCTACAACAAAAAGAAAATGCCTAGTGCCCTATAATGATTTGTATCTAACCAAAAGCATACATGAATGTATAAGTTGTTTACATTTATTGGTAAAAAAAAACTTTTTGTAAGCATAGTCTTGAATTTCTGACAACCCATCGGAACTCGCATTCTATACAATTTAAGTATTTCATAATGATCAAAACATACCGCATACAAAAATTACAAAAATCTCCATATAAAAAATGACTTGAATTATCACCCAGTTAAATTTTACTTTCTACTAAATTCGTTCCTTGAAAATTAAAGCACGGAGGATTTTCAGTGCATCCCAAACGAATTCCAGCCATTCTAAGGGAAAATTTACCAACGGACTACAACTGACATTGATGGTGTGCTAGAAAAGGATTTCAAATGGCATTGTTTATGAGATATTACAAAGTTTTTCTAGATTTCTGAAATGCAAATTTTTTGTAAGTTGCTTACTTTTATGAACAGTCAGGCATTTAAATTAGAGTATTATTTACTTTTTCTTTATGGTTTTCAAACTTCATTTAGGTGAAACTAGTTTAATAATGATAATTGCAATAAAAGTGAAATGTAATGCATTTTTATTTCCTTTATGTAATTTAATCAAACAGTGCTTTGGAAATTTATTTTCCCCTGATGCAGAGCACCCTAGTGTGCTTTTTTTAAACCAAATAATCTAATACAAAATTGATCTCTTTCCACTTATTTTGATAAAATGAAGCCTAACAATACATTATATAAATGAAACCTCCCATTTAGTGCTGATAAATAGGGTTCTATTTCTTTTATACAATATGGTTAACATATTTTTAACACGTATATCACTGAGACAGTGCTATCTCTTTTCAACTGAATTCATCAGAACTTCTGTAACCAATCTTAATAACCCTTTTACCAAGATTAAAATGAAGTACAGCACTCAAATATTTTTTTTTAGTTGTATTTTTAAAACTTGATAAATAATTCATATTTCTTACATTCATGCAGACTTTTTTTTTTTTTTTTTTGAGCAAGTTACAAAGCAAGCTAATTTTATTAACAGTCAGGTATTTTCAAAATAATTTTCACAGTAGAACTATGAAACTGTTGTGTTCATTACACTAATATTCTCATTATACAAACATCTAGGGGCTTTGCTTCCCCCTTCTTTCTTTTTGGAAGGGAAGACAAAGTACACTGGAAAAGGCTAGGTTCATCATCATTTCTTCTTTTGCACTGCATATGCTTACACATCTGAAATACTTAAATATGCTCATGTATAAAAAATACTACTCTTGATATTCAGTCTTGCTTTAATACTGTTGTCAGCATCTTATGCATATCATTTACACCTACACTGCCTACTTCAAATGCTATTACTTTTAATGTAGAGTAACTCTTGACTGGAATGCATGTGAATTTGAAATAGATGCAAGTTCTTAATAGTGGGAAATTCAGGTCAAGACAAATCTTCAATTTCAGTTGGTCAGTGTTTTATGACAAAAAACATAAATGTTTTTCAAGGTTTGAATTTGCTTCAAAAGAAAGTGCAAGCTACATACATAAAAAAAATTACTGGGTACTTTTTCTATGCTAGTCTCCTTTTTCTCAATGTAAAATATTTTTTTTATTAAAAGATTTCTGCAATATTTAGCATTCATTCAGGAATAACAAGCTCAAATGAAAACAATATAAACATAGAAAAGAAAAAGGTTACTAAAAATGCCTCAGAAGAATATATTCTTTTTTAAAGCATAAATATCAAACAAGACATTTCTTAAAATGCACATTTCCTACAATTACAATAATAAATAAGCACATGGAGTATTTTAATAATATTTAGTACTAAATCACAATGCACTACTTTGATATCTTGACAGTTATGCACATATGAATAAAACTTGGCCAGCTCAAAGACTTCATTTCAAACCTCGTCTGTGAGCATATATATTTACCCAGAAACTTTTCAGTATTGGTAGTAGCTCAAAGATAAATAATTTATAGATAATAGTTCCACAATTGGAGACCCAGAATTGCAGACTCAGACCAAATAATAATTTGGAAAATGTAATGGGATCAAATAGCAATTTCTTTTAATGACAAAATGAATTCTAAAATAAAGAACATTTTTGATGGTGCTAAAATCGCATCAGTTGTGAAATATTTTTATTGTAAATTAAAAAGTAAGCATTTTAGACTCAGAGAAAAGTTTCATTACTTTTCATATGAATTAAAACCTTCAAATGAGTAAATATGTCTAAAAATAGGAAACAATAAGAAACTTTAATCATATATTTTCTTGCTGTTTCAGAAATATTTTTAAATACATGTTAACTTACTCCTGAAGTCTACAGATTTCAGTGTTTTGAAAAAAAAAAAAAAAAAAAAAAAAAAAAAAAAAAAAAAAAAAAAACTTCAATTTAAAAAGTAGACATTTTCAGTTTTCACAACTTAAGAAATAAGAATTAAATGTGAACATAAAAATTGCTCTGTTATTTTTCTTTGGTATGGTAATAAATAATAAGTAAGCGTTAGTATCACCTAGGGACGGGACTAACAAGATAGCAATACCCTGCCTTACACACCATTCTTATGTTTTGCCTAATAAATAAACTATGCACAGTTATTTACGTCATTTACACATTGTTCTCAATTTGTTTTTCATTCAGTAATTATATATATGCTATTGAGGTTAGATATCTTAAAAGACATTTTTAACAGCATGCAAATCTTAAAAGGAAAAAAAAGTACACATAAGAATTGTTACATATATTTCCAAATTCATAATTTCCAGCAATAGTTATCTGCAGGAAATAAAATTCTCATAATTACATATAACCCAACTGCATACATAAAAAACTTATTATCAACACAATTAAAATTAATTTTGAATTCCGAAAGACAAAATGGTGTAGAAACATGTGGGAAATCAATGCATAAATGTAATCTTGCATAGGATATCATTTATTGTTGAACATTACACATTAAAACAGACAAGCTGCATTTCTTTCAGCTCCATAAAAAATGACAATCATAAAATGCATAGTTCTTATGAACAAGTGTTTTTAAATAGATACAATGATTTGCTGTGAAAGCCCACTGAAAAAGCCAGGTTTGAATTTTCAGGACGCATTATCAAAAATGATCTGACAATGAACAAAACACAAAAATGGAAGTTGCTATGTTGAAGAAAATTAGTATGAAGCAATAATAGATCTTTCAAACATATCAATAAATATAAGTCAGGTAGAGCATAAGTATCTAAAAAAATAAAAATTAAATACTGAAACATGAAGTACGAACATTATGGAATGCCAGAATTTGGATATTCCTTGAATAATGGCTTAAGCAAGATGACTTTTCTGTTACTAGATGATATTCACAAGGTGAAATTTTCACTCTATAACTGATGGCAATTTGCTCACTTACAATGTACATGGTACAAGAAAAGCACCTAAAATCATTTAAATACACCTGACCTTTTTAAGTGCAAGATCAGTACAAATTAAATAGTTCTTAAAACATGTCTTTTACAATCAACAACTATGTTGTGATTTGCCTAGATTTTTGGTCCTGAATACATTTTAAATGTTTAAAAACATTGTTCTCACCAAGCAAATTTGATTTGGTACACCTCTCATATAATCAACAATAAGAATCTTTCAGTTAGTCTATATAAAATTCACTTTAAAGCCCACAGGCATTTCAACTCAAAATATAGGAAAAGTCTTGTATACAACATGAAGTGTTTTAAATACAATGATACAATTTTATATACTCTGTGAGAGGATCATTTGCAAACTATGCCTCTTCTTGGCAGTTCCAGTCATCATAGCATCTGTATGATATGCCAAATTTGTTGCATAAACGTGTTGTAGAAGAGACTATCTACATCAAGTAGCAATGAACTCTAAGATCTTCCTTTTACCAAATAGAAGAAAGACTGCATGGCACAAGGAGGAAAAGTGCTGTTACTAGGCTTTCAATCATGAGGCCTAGATAATTGGGAGAGGCACTGTGCTATTGTTCTAGCAGACTCAACAGGAGACATAGCTAAATATGCTAATTCTGGCTCAAATCTCCTGACGTAACTGTAAAGAAAATATAACAAATAATTAGAATGAGCACAAACAATACAAATTTTAACGTCTTTAAAATATATTCCATAAATGTCATGTAAAGTTACATTTTAAACAAAGCACAGAATTATTTTATATTTTTCCCTAAAACAATTTTTCTTACAATTATTCTCTTGTATTAATTTGTTTAAAATAAAATGTGTTACCTATGTCGCATATATATTGCAAGATTTAAACAGCTAGCAGACAAATTTTAAAATATTTTAATATTTCTTGCACAAGGCTTGTGAAAATTTGAAACTTACGTTCTTGCTAAAGAACTGTGAGTTACCAAGTTTCTGAGGATGAGGGCACTTGTTAGACGAATGCTTTTTGTAAGCGCACTCTCTTTTTCTTCCTAGTACACAAAATAGAATTAAAAGGATTTTTTCAACAATTGATAATGGAATACAGAAATAATAAGAAACAAAAATAATACAAACATACTAACAACAATCATTAATAATGTGAAATTAATAATATGGGTCAGTAAGTATCTGAACAGTAAAACTCTTAATCAATGAAATCATTAATTTCCCATCTCTTAAGACTGCATTGCATTTTAAAACTTGCTGCTTCGATAGTCACTTCTCTTCTTTGTTTTACTTGAAGTCTAGTCATGTTTATTTTTATCTTATTTACAGTGTACGATTTTCAAATTAAAAACCAAACATTTAATTCACATGCTTAAAACTGTATCAGTATACTCAATTTTAAGTCTGCCTGCTTCATCACCAAGAATTTGGAAAGCTCTAATACTAATGAAATTAGTCACATTTTTTTTAACTGAAGATAACTGAATTTAATTTGATCTGTCAATACATATATTCTTAAAATGTCTGAATTGTCATTTTGTTTATATGTTTTTAATATAAAAATGAGCATTAATTATGTTTCAATGACATATTTGCAATTGATATTAGGAAGAATTTCCACACTGGGGAATATTATGCTCTCGCTTACTCTGGTTATGGCTATAACTTCCCTTTCCTACGATTTTAACTAAAAACTCAATTGTTAACAATAAGTTCAATGATTTTACCACTCAGCTGTGGTCTTTGTTTTATTTGAGGTCTAGTCATGTTTATTTTTTATCTTATTTACAGTGTGCGAGTTTCAGATTAAAAACCAAACATTTAATTCACATGCTTAAAACTATATCAGTATACTCAATTTTAAGTCTGCCTGCTTCATCAGCAAGAACTTGGAAAGCTCCAATACTAATGAAATTTGTCACAATTTTTTTAACTGCAAGATAACTGTGAATTTAATTCGATCTGTCAATATATATATTCTTAAACTGTCTGAATTGTCATTTTGTTTATAAGAATGTTTTTAATATAAAAATGAGCGTTAATTATGTTTCAATGACATATTTGCAATTGATATTAGGAAGAATTTCCACGCTGGGGAATATCATGATCTTGCTTACTCTGGTTCTATAACTTCTTTTTCCTATGATTTTAACTAACAACTCAATTGTTAACAATGTGTTCAATGATTTTATCACTCAGCTGTGGGTGGGCCACAAGTTATACACTTCTATATTTTTTAATAATAATAATTTTCTAAAAAATTTTTTCATTTGAAACCTTAAAGCTATGCCAAAACAGTAAAGACTGAAAAACCAGATTTTATTGAAATACAGGTTAATTTATATCCCTGGGAACAAAATCACTAAAATGATATAAACTGCTGAATTTAGTAAAGGGAAGAGATGTTAGCTCAATAAAATTAAGATTCCTAAAAAAACTGTACCATTTGTTTTTTGGTTTGGTTTTATGAGATTACAGCATAGCCTCAAGGGCTACCTGCCCAAGGGGAGTGAGTCATTTTCAAATTTCTTAAAGGGACCTGTGTGGAGGACTTCGTGAGGGAAACTTGCTCATATACACGTTACACATGGGGAAAAATATGAAAACAACCATGCTGTAATTAATTATATACTGTTTTTAATAATGCTATTACTTTCACGAAAATCTGTGCACTACTCTTAGTTCCACAGTCCTAGCTATTAACTCTAGGTTATTGAGCCATTAGTTATGTCAATTCCTGACACAAAGGAAATGAAATTGAAAAATTTGGAATTCCTATTCTAAGAATCTTATACCCGTAGCTTTGTGATTTAACACTATCACAAAACAAGCTATGTATGGACGACTCATAAAAAAATGGCTTTTTAATATCAAATGACAGAGCTAGCCAATTGATTGTTGCAATCATTTTCATACAACAGCTCACTGTTTCCATGCAAAATTAATTTCAAGACTGCTTAAAAAGCTAAAGCAACATAAATATTCTTCAAAACGTTGAAAGATACAAAAGTGTCTTTATGCAGAATAATTGACTGCAACTACATAATAAAAATTATCATTTCTTATACAAAAAAAAAAAAAAAAAAAAAAAAAAAAAAAAAAAAAAAAAAAAAAGTTTTGAAATATGATTAAACTTAATATCTTAAATATATAAAAGTGCATAAAATTATACTGAACATGTCAACTAAAAAGACTCACTGAAAGTTCCTTGGGATTGATATACTGAAGGGCATGCCTCCTTATTGCTAACAAAGCAGCATCAGGAGCATAACCAGGATGTGGGGGAGGCATTTGAGGTGCTGCTATGGACGTTTTGCCCTGCTGGGATAACTGCTTCCTCCGCAAAGCTTGTGTATGCAGAACTCTTTCATTACAATGCCAGTCCTGCAGATACAAACATAAAATAAAGATTTTAAGAGTTTCCGTCATCTAATATTCAGGTCATTGCGAAGTACTTATTTAAAAATGAAAAGAAAGAATGTGACTTAAAATGACATGCAGCCTGAATATTAAGAACTCGGTAATTAAAAAATAAAAGCAACATGAATTTAAAAGTATTACAAAAAGAACACAATTTATTAAACAAATAAATATAAGCTACACAAAAATGTATAAAACTTAATTTTATAAAATTATAATTATAATTTAAAAAACAAAACTAGTACCAGCAATCATCTGAATATTTCAAGCGTTCAAGCAGTTATCCCACAAGAAAACTACTTTGTCAATATATGACAAGCTTTAATTAAGGCATAGAATTGAAAATATTTACTGACAAAAAAATTTTAATGGATAAAGAAAATTAGTGATTATACAGAAATAGTATTTCTTTTCATGAAATATTTGCCAAATAATTCCGCTGAAAAAGGGCAGTTAGAAACTATGTAAGAAATGCAAAATTTTCGAGATACAACTTTGATGTTTTTGATTGTTTACTTGCATATATCAGTTACAAAATTAGATATCCCCACATTTAAGAAAAAATTTGCTATTGGAATCATCACTGCTCTAATGTATAACTAAAATCTGTATCAACATTTTTCGCAGTTTGTATAAGAATTACCAACATTATTTGCTACTGGTAAATATGAATTTGAAGAGATGTGAAGTGATAGCTTTTGAGACATACAAAAAATTTAAAAAAATTCATAAAATAATTGCAAAGTGTGAAAAAATTTAATCAGAAACACATCAATTCCAATAATCCTTTATTTACAATATAAATTATATTCTTCAAAAGCAAATGCCACTACGGTCAGAAAAGAAAACTGTTATATTTATCATTCAAATAGAATGTGAACTAGCCACTAAATATTAAGCTCTAGCACTTTCAGCAACATTTTAGGGTGATAAATAGCAATTTCCTTTCTCACCAAAAAGTTGTAACAGCTGAAAAGCTTAGACTGGAATTGGGGAAAGAAAAAAGGATATCAAGAACCTGGAACTTGAAAGACAGTTTACTGTTTGATGAAAGGTATTTTAACTGCATGCAGGTTGACTGCCATTTTTATAGAAAGCTGTCTATTGCTGCAGAAATTGCAGAATGCAATATGTCCATAAGAGAAGGAATATGAGGGTGTTCACACATTTTTGCAAGGATTTTAATTTTGCCATGAATTCAATAATAATTTTGAAAAACAAACATGACTGGCAACAAATGGGAATAAGGTTTAATTATCATCTGCAGCATTAAAAATATTCTTTTCACTTCGAACTTTCTTTAAAAAATATTGCTGAAAAATAAACAAATGGCTCGAAGGCTATATTTTTGCACAGTCCGAAGAGAAATACTTATTCAATTATTAAACAAAAATATGAAAAGCATAGTTTTAATATTTCTACATGTAAAATAAGTGACATAATTAATATGAAGGGGGGGATTCAATGTTTACATCTGATCGAAAAAAAGGCAAAAAATATGTACAGCTCTTTTTAAATCTAAAGTCGCATCTCATGTTTTAAAGGAAAATCAAGTCCCCCAAAGAGCTATTGCAAAATCTTTAAATATCTCTGTGGGAACTGTGAACAAAATTATAAAATCTGATTTAAAGCTAATCAAAGCCCTCCCCCCCAAAAAAAACGTTATGTTCATCTTCTAATGTCGAAACATATTTCTAGGCGTAAGACTATGTGCAGATTGCTGTATGAAAATTATTCGGTGGGTTAAAAATGGAAATATGTGGCTACAATTGATGAGGCTTGGATATATACCTACCTGATTTCAACAGAAAAAAGATGATTTACTACCAAAAAGAGGAGAAAAGGACTTAATATATTGGTTCAGAGGAAACAAGGAAAGTTTTTCTAAAGTTTTATGGTTATTACTGGATTCTCCCATAATGGAAAAATTAAAATAAGGAAAGTAGAAAATGTCGAAATTAATTTGGATTTAAACCAGAAATTATTTTTAACTACTATTTTTGAAGAAGAAGTTCTATCGCTTTATCCACACAATCTTCACTGTGTTAAGTTCCATCAAATATGAAACTAGAATTGAAGCTATTTCCTTTAAATGCATCCCACCCAAGTCCCCTAATGTGTCACCTATGGATTACTTTGCATTTGAACTTCTAAAACAAAATCTTTATTAGCGACGTTGCAAAAAATTAGATGGACTCTGGAAGATTGCGAAGGAGACATGGAATAAAATCAATCATGATATTTTAAGAAAATTACTTTTATCTTAGAAATCAAGATGTAATATGAAATTTTAGAAAAAAAAAAGGGGGGGGACCATCAGAGTGAACATATTAGAAAATAAAATCCTAAGGTTTGTTTATATATAAATCTTTGCAACATCGTTACAAAAATGAGTGAACACCCTCTGTATACAATCATAAATAAGATAGAAGTTCACTACGATATATAAGCAACTTAAGATACATATTCATCTTTCTCATTTCCTCTAGGGTTGTTTATTGTCATGGTCGAGATCTGTACCTGACAGTACAGATCTCGAGCATAACACATGAAGATTATGTATTAAATTGTATTTATTATATCGATATAAAATTTGCCTATCTCAGTCACTGATGTATGTATTTGAATGTTTACCCATTCAATTTTCCAGGTTATGATAACCATAAAGCAAAAAGTATCTAAATTTTTTGTAGGTGATCACAATACTTAAAGAAAAAAACAACAGTAAATAATTTCACATTATAAATACTCTATATAAATACTGGTGCATTAAAACTGTGATTACATAAGAGAAAATATACATTAAAAGTTAACGAAGATAACAAAGTATTTAGATACAACTATCTTTTAACATCAAGCAAAAATTCTTCCTCATACCTATTTCAAATAAAATGGTTTTCAATTTATAATGTAGAAAAGGTTGCCCTTTGGATTTGTGCTAAATACTGGTGCCGGTACCTGTTTTCTAGTAACCCTGAATCAACTGATTCTTTATGTTACAGCAACTTTTTTTTTTTTTAAATGTGATCGATGTATTCCTTGAGTTTAATAAAAATGGATCTTCGAAATTTAGTGATTGTGACGTATGTAATACACAGTACACATGTTACACATTAAGTATTATGTATTTTGAATTATTTGAATTTTAGCTGCTATTAATTGACTGCTCATTTTAATTAGCTGCCTGTGGCTTCTTCTAATCATCATCTCATCACTTCCACAATAAATTCCATCTAGTAAGATAGATAGACAATTTTTTTTCATGATTTAGAGCAAAAGGGTACAAAAGCTATCCTTGATCGGAGTATGAATCAAAATTTATTTAGTTCTCAGTAAACGTCCAGTTTGTCTGAAAGATATGCATATGGTTGAGAGTAAGAATCGATTGGATGGCTACGAAAGGGTTGTCAGGAGAAAGGTGAGAATAATGATAATACTCATCATTATAAGAGAGGGAATATAGTTAAAACAAGATGAGTATAATTGTTGTTTTAATTTTTTCTTATTTGTAGGTAAATGAAGCTGGAATGAATCTGTTTCTGAATTAGGAGAATGCCCATTGAAATAAAAACGTGGTTGATAAGAGAAATTTTTGTGGAGATGTGTGTAATACATGAGAGTGTGAATTGGTGGTCCTGGCATGGTTGCAATTATTGATGAAAGTTTGGTAAAAGAACTATAATGGGGAAGAAGGATGAATGGAAAATGCGTGTTTGGTGGTACTAAAAGAAGTAGTAGAAGATGTGTTTTTGAGTCTGAAGAAAATTGTACAAAAGATAATTTGTTGGAAGTGATTTCTCAGAAAATCCTGCTTGGAACCATGTTTATCTCCAACTACTGGAAAAACCTATGACTGCTTAATAATCAAGGCTTTGAGCATTTTTAGTGAATCATTCCCTGACTCAAATTGCAGCAAGGAAAAATCTCAAAAATTAAAAGATGAAGATGCCTATACCAACATGTTAGGCATAATGATTTTAAGCTGAAAAAAATTCTGACTTTAAAAAAAAAATTTTTTTTAGAAAAATTTAACAGTTAAAATATACCTCTTGTACTACTTTCAATGTTTTCACCCCAAATTTTTTATCGCATGTATTATATTATAATGTTATTAACTATTAGCATTGATTTGGCAAAACATAAATTAAGTAAATAAACAAAAAAAGCATACATATATAATTTATTTCCTAAACAGTATTGAAACTAAAAAGTACGATTTCAATTACAATTTTACTTCCAAAAATTTTTCAAAACCCAACCTTGTGTTTGTTAAGTATTTAATAATAAACCAGCAGTAAAAATCTTAAATAATTTAGTCCATAACTGTATAAATTTCAGGATTTTAAGTAATAGGATTTATCAAAAAAATTCAAACCAAGAAAACACAGTTTAAAGGATGTCAACTCTCTAAATGATTATGTGATGTTAAAAAAAATGCAAAAATTACTTTCTATACATATTAACTTGTAATATTTTATAATATAATCAAATACAATGCTACGTGATGTTCAAAAGTTTCAAGAATTATATATTGAAATTCATTGATATTAAGTCTTTTGCTCAAAATGGGTTGAATCAAGATAAAGTCTCATTTAAATTTATGAACAGAGAAGCAGATATTGCTGACTTTTAAACGAAGCTGAAATTAGTAAATAATTTGTATTACTTATTTGATTTTGACATCCTTAACATCTTGCAAGTTAACAGAATTCATTTGATGACTTGGAGAGATAAGCTTTGGTAATTTTAAAGCAGTAAAGTGATTTTTAAAGTGTGGTGCAGCCTCAAAAGACTTTCCAAGGACAATTGGCCGATATTTAGTTACTATGTGCGGGGGGGGGGGGGGGGATATATAACATATGCAGCTAAACTATATAGTAAATGGAACTAAATTATCATGAACAACCTATGTTTTGAAATATAAAAGTAGCACTATTCAAATAGAGAAACTTGGGAAGGGGGAAAATAAACCATACCTGTATCTGAAAAATACAGTAGCTATAACCCTCTAAGTGGAACTCCTCGTGAAGATCTGTATTTAAACAGCATTTGCAGCTAAATTTATATACTCACTTATTTTAATCTCTCATTTTATAAACTTCCATCCACTAAGATAATATTTACATCATTAAAAGAAGAAAGCAGGGGGAGAAAAATAATAATAATTGAAGGTTGTCATGTCCCTGAGGGGGTTTGTTCACTAATAAAATTTCTCTTGCTTGTAACTAATAACCCCCACCTGTTTATAACTAATAGTTACTATCTCATCATTTCTCTAACGCAAAATACAGATTCTTTTTACGCATACACACATTTCATGAAGATTTCTGAAGACTTCACTATAAAAGATTTAAATATACACATGAAAAATTTACTTTGAAACAATTAATTAAACAATGGGAGCTCAGACAAGATGAGAGAAAGCATTAATGCAATTCTCTAGCATAATAAGATTTTAATCAAAATTTAAATCAGCTATTAGATATGAAGAAATTCCAGGCTTAAGATCAATTTTTAAAATGCCACCATAAGTGCATTGTGAATACATGTTTACATTAATGTAAGAGTACTTTTTTATAGCTCAGAATTATTTTTTGTAAGGGAAAACTTTGGTTACTTGCTTATTCAATATAGTTACTGAATTAATTACCTGTAAATGAGTAAGTAATGAAAACCGCCTTCTTTTCATAGAATCACAGCCTTCCCATTGACAGATCATGTCATCATTGCATAGTGGTGCATGAACTTTACTTGCATGAAGAAATACTGAACCAGGATTAGAGAATTTTCTAAAATTAAATAAATAAATAAATAAATAAAAATAAGGTCATATGCTGTACAATATATAATTAAGAATATCAGAGCTCTCTTACAGTACAAAGTCTGAGATCCACAATCATCGAGATATCAGTGATGTCAGATTTTATATTATCAGTCTAAGTCTAGTAAGATAATATGTTGACATGGGAACATTAGTGCTTCACTTATTGTTTGCTTGAGTTAGAATGCTAATCTCCCAACAAGGAACATTGATACTGCAAAATTTTGGAAGTGTGAGCTTGGCCAACATTAATACATCATCAATAAATGTATTTTTATTGGCTACCGTTCAACTCACTAGCCAGCAAGTGCTTCAAACTGACATGCAGGAATCCCAGTTGGAAGAAAAAACTGCATTTATGGAACATTTGATTCCTTTTATTGAGTATAATACTCTCCATTCCTAGATTTTATGAGGAGGGAGGAATTTTAATTTTTTTTATTTATTTTTTGAGTTGCAGTTTTGAGGTCCAGATTTAGGACATCCAGATTTCGGACTTTATACTGTATAGTTAAACTACATCACAGAAAAGTGCCCACAATGAATTCAAGCACATTAAAATTATACAAAAATGTCATTAAAATGAAACATGGTTGTATATATGTATAAAACTGTGGTTCCATGACACGACGTGAATGATTTGATTATGAATGCGGCACAAACTCGCATTAAAATTTTTGGTAAAACAGGACTGTGATTCACTGTGAACCTAGAATAACAAACCTGTGACGATTTCTTCTTAATTAGAACTGGCCGAAAATTGTAATGAAGCACAATTTTTGGAAGCTCTGGTGTAAGAAAACTGAGATACAGATGCGTAGAAAGGCTGATTGCGAAGATACTTGATACTTAGAACGTCCATCCCTTTTGAAGAAGATACAGTCAAGTCGGATTAAATTCCACATTTATTTTAATTCTCATTTGTGGCCACAATTACTTGGCACTCCAATCGTACCTATTTCCAGAACACTTACAATTTTGATACTACTGCGATAAAAGCAAACATAAAAGATTGCTGCAGTGTCTTAACAAGATGAAGCGCAAGCAAGAAGAGAGTGTCACAGTAGTAATGCAGAAAGAAGGGAGGGAGTGAAAGTTTTGGTTTACAATTATTTTGATTGGGCAAGATATATCTGCATTGAGTGTTACGTAAGATTGCAGGATTAATTTGAATGATGCAGTTTAGACTTATGGCACAATTTCTAAGACAGAGAGATAAGTTCCAAAATTAAATAAAAAGTAAAAGAAGTTATAACCAATCAAAATTATAAGTTTGCTTTCATATTTTTTACCTAACATTTCCCCTTCAAAAAGAAAACGGGCAGAGCGATAGAGAAGCTTTTTTGAGAGTAAAAGTATTAGAGCAGCAAAATATGAGAGATATAATTTTGAAAATACCAAACATAAAATCAACTTTTGAACAATTAAGAATTACAAGTCATAAAATTTTGAATTCAGTAATAATCTTAAGCACTATATTCTTCTAAAATAATTGCACATTTTAAAAATCCTATTCAAATTTGAGTCTAGTCTGTAAAAAGTTCTTGTTTCTGGCACATTCACATTAAAATTTTAATACTTTAGGGAAGGATTTCAAAAAATTGTTGCAGACAATATCACAATTATAAAAATTTTATACAGTCAAAAGTCGTTAATCCGGACTCGTTGGGACTTCGCCGATTCCGGATTATAGATCATCAGTTTAAATCTCGTAAGATGGCATGCAGATATTCTAAAATTCAAAATATGAAACCTTAATTTATGAAATAAAGAACAATTATAATCTAAAGGGTATCAAAATTTACAAAAAAAAAAAAAGCTTAATATTTATTTGTTTACTTTATTAAACATTTCTTTCAATGTAAGTTGTTTTAAGTTGCTTCGTTTTATGTGATAATACTTTCTCTTTAATTCTATAAACAGACACAATACACAATTTCTTGTTCAGTTACAAAGTTCCGCTGTTCAAGTCCCGTTAATTATTGTGCCGAGAATAACGACTAACTTGTCAATCGAAATTTTTTCGTTTTCACTAACCTCTCTGTCACATTCTTCATGTCTTTATCCATTTTTTGCAGCAATTCCACTTTTTGTTTGATGGACATTGAAACATACTTTTGTTTTGTATGATCCTTTGGGAGCTCCAGAATTAGAAATTCTATTTGACATAATTGAAAGTTCAAGTTTACTTTTATAAAATTGCTCTTACAGTCTGCAAAAAAAAAATAAACCGGATCCAATTAGAAGATTAAGGAACAACGCAATCATCAACATTAACTGAAATAGATAATTTTAGATTATACGGTCCGTTATACATAAAATGCGCACGCGAAAACGTATTCTGCGATTGCGCAAACGCATATGCGCAGTGGTAAAAGGTCTTACGCACATGCATAAACGCCCATGCGCATGTGTCAACGCGGCGCATACGCAGAAAGTTTTTAGCTTTGAGGGCCGGATTATAGATCATTCCGGATTATGGGTGTCCGAATTAACGACTTTTGACTGTATACCCATTAATTATTACAAATAATCATAAATCTTAATATTTTACACCATACTAATTTTCATATTTATAAGTAATATTTGTAATAGTATAATTGAAATTATGGTTTTTACTTTTATCACTACATTTTACAATGCAGAGGTAAAACAGGCCTCTGTTTCTGAACCAGTACTTCTTCACATACTTTATATTTAACATACAATTATTGATAATTATAGCATTCATGTAACACAGTTCCAAACAAATTTTAATACATTTTACTCTTAATTAAATTCTCATATAAATTTTATTACGATTATTCAATTTCTTAAATCTTTGGTACTTGTATTGATTTTTACAATATAGTACGTAGCGTATTCGGAAACTAAGTACCGTTTCATTCTAGCGCCGTTGCAGCGCAGTGGTAGGCATCACGCGCATGCACACTAGTCTTTCTTGTTCACTGACTTTATATTGTCGCCATTTTGGTTGCTCTATGTTGTGTTTTCAGTTTGCTGTGCACATTCAAAATGTTTAAGACAATTAGTTCTCCCGCTGACTGCGAGATTCGTGCCGTGATTAAATTTTTGAATGTGAGGAATGTTAAAGCGGCCGAAATTTATCGTCAAGTGACAGAAGTTTATGGTGAATACGCGATATGTGATGGAATGGTGAGAAAGTGGGTAAGAATGTTTAATGCAGGTCGAAACAAATGTCCACGCCGAGGCTCGGAGTAGTCGGCCTTCTGTTGTCACCGATGATTTGGTAAGGAAAGTTGATGAAGCAATTCATGAGAACAGACGCTTCACAATGATAACTCTTTCAGAGGCAATTTCACGTACCGTTTTGTTCGAAATTGTATCTGACTGCTTGAATTATCGCAAACTGTGTTCCCGATGGGTTCCAAAAAATGCTCACTGATGTTCACAAAACAAAGCGACTTGGTAGTGCCCTGACATTTCTAACGCGGTACAGTGATGAGGGAGAAAACTTTTTAAACCAAATTGCGACAGGTGATGAAACTTGGGTGTGTCATTTCACACCAGAATCGAAACAACAATCGATGGAGTGGAGACACTCTCATTCTCCGAAAAAACAAAAGTTCAAAGTGACAATGTCATCACAAAAAAATCATGTGCACTGTCTTCTGGGATAGGAAAGGTGTTTTGTTTACTGAATTCCTTCCCAGAGGTGAAACCATTAATGCGGCACGATATTGTGAGACTTTAACAAAACTAAGGCGTGCCATTCAAAACAAATGAAGAGGAATGCTCAGTGAAGGAATTGTGTTGCTCCATGACAATGCTCGGCCCCATATTGCTGGTGTCACTCAATCGTTAATTTGACAGTTTCATTGGGAACAGTTCGATCACCCGCCGTACAGCCCGGACTTGGCGTCCTTCGACTATCACTTGTTCCTGCACATGAAGCGCAAGCTTGGTGGCAAGCGCTTTGGATCTGACGATGACACGAAAAATGCTGTGGACTCGTGGTTATCGAAACTGGCGGGAAGTTTCTTTGACGATGGTATACAAAAACTGGTCACCCGCTATGACAAGTGTTTGATCATTGGTGGAAACTATGTTGAAAAATAGTTTAAGACATGTATTTTCATGTAAAAATAAAATTGGATTCGAAAAAATTGTTTTACTATTTTTTTTTTTTTTTTTTTTTTCCCCCAAAACGGTACTTAGTTTCCGAATACGCCTTGTATGTTCCTGTTAGTATTTGGAGTTAATCTTGACATTTTTTTGCACTCTCTTTATTTTTAACTTGCCATTATAAGAAAAACCAGCAACAATCATGAATCCCTTAGAAAAACTTTCGATTCTTTGAACCATGTACTTACATTTTTTTCTCTCCTTTTATAATAATAAATGGCTCTTTTTTTGTTACAATCATTTAAATACACCCACGCTTCACCTATTGTGACAATTTTTTCCATTTTTCTTTAGATAAGTGTTTCTCATATAGAATTCTGCAGCGTGTCCTGTGTTGAGCGATATGCTTTGGAAGAAGATGATGCACATTGCGTTTTTTCGCTTTCTTAAGATTTAAATAAATGTTTATCATTTTGTTTACAGTGGACACTGAGCATTTTAATGATTTTGTAACTGTCCTTTGACTAGGGAGATTTTCTTTTAACATTAAACAACATACCTTTGCAATAGTCGAAGATGTCCGTTTTTCCCTTGGATACTTGTTTGGAATATTTGTCCCACTTGAGGCTCCAATTTGACATTTTTTTTCCTTTTTTGTTGATGATATTACCTATCGACACTTTAGATATCACAAAACCATGACTCTCACATCGTTTTTGGATAACGAAGTATGCATATTTCTCTTCGGAAAGAGCGTAAATGTAGCCTTCGAACCACTGCTTTGTTAAATTTGCCATTTTGAATAAAAAAAAAACTTTCAAGCCATAGATGATAATTTTGACTTTTGAAAACATAGTACAATTGCAATTACTTCTTTTGCAG